AGACCCCTAATCAAGACCAAAACTAAAACAAAAATAAAAACAAAAACCTTGCATAAGGTTAAAAGAAAATAAAACCAAGAAAAGCCCATTAAAACAACCCTCAGCCTACAACGACGTAGAGATGATTTTAAGGAGACATGCAAACATTTTGCATATCTATAAAAAGTATTCTTCAAGAGCCAGTTTGATGTAGTGGTGAACGCATCAGGCTAGGAATCAGGAGATCGAGAGTTCTGGTCCTGCCTTAGGCGCGGAGTCAGCTGCGTGACCTTCCTTTGAAAGAAGTGCATTGCAATGTGCGGGATGTGTAAGAAGTTTTTGAATCATTAAATCAGCCAGATCTTTTTCTGGGCTTGTGCAGCTGCTGCTTGTGGCATATTAAATATTAACGTGCTTTATTTTGGCATAAATGGACTGGAGGATATTTCATCAGAAATGTGAAGTATAGTATTAAATTGGCAGGCATATAATGGGGGGGGGAGGAAGGGTGAAAATTGATAATTACATGAGAAAGAAGGCAGACTGTTTTTAACAGTGGCTGCATGACAGATTGTAGGAGGAAGCAAGGTCAGTTATGCATGTGCATATGCTTTCATAACTCTGTCATTAGCATGATAAAAGATGTGGCTGCTTTCAAGATGCAAAGAGAGATGCTTATTATGCCCTCATGCTTGAAAATAACCTCTTCTAAAGAATAGCTGACATTAACAGGCTCTCTGCTGAGCAAATTGGTTATTCCAGGGTGAACAGTTTTTGTAAAAGGGTAATCTTATACATACCCAGGGATAAATCTATTTTATTCAAGAGCGAAGCATAATCTGTGCTCTGTATGTGATAAGAGAAAAGTCCCAGTTTTGAAAATACTACATTTGCATTTAATAATACTTAAAAAAAAAACCAGTGTGGCTTGGGTACGCAGTTGTATACACTGAAATAGTATTCATTTGTTGTGCTTGATATGATTTAAAATTTCAAGATCGTTGAGATATGTTTGTACATTTTATTTAGACAACTGGAAGATTATATCCAGGAAAAGTTAGAATTTGAGAAATACAGTTTCTTTGTCAAATGCTCAGGTGAACTGGAAGATTCTTGAAGAACCTTTATTGCTTTTCTCCAATAATGAAACGTTGAATGCTGGATGCCAGCAGTAACTGTTTTTTAATGTTCCTACATTTTTCACACTTCAGTGGTGTCTAGACACATATTAATACTATTTTACAGTATCTCCTGTAATAGTTACAGTTTGTATTCAATTACATTCTCTCCTTTTTTTGATATTCTCAAAGCATGCCATTTCTCTAAAAAAAAAAATCCATTGCTTATTGCTGAAGTCATCATCTTTAATTTGGAATCACAGTCAAGTGGAGAGATATCCTGTGTTTAGCAGAAAATGACATCCTGCCCCACTGTTTTAGGAAGCCCTTCAGTAGGCCTACTTTTTGTGCGTTTGGGTTCTGTGGAGATTGCCAGATTCCATTTTTTGTATGAATGTCTTTTACTGTATTAAATCTTTCCTGCCTAATATTCTATTACGGTTTTAAGTGTTCCAAAGTGTCTTGTGGCTTTGCTTTGGTGAATATTTCAACGGATTTTACGCTTACTATATTTGGAACTAAAGTTTTCCAGTTTTATCATTTAGCTATCAATGTGCCTTTTATGCCACTGAGAGGAGATGCTTCTTTTGATCAGAAAACTGTTTTATTGTGTTGTTGTCATACATTTGTTTGCATTATTTATGTGCTGCCAGATTTTAATTTTATATTTCTAACATTCTCCAAATTATAACCCGAAAACACTAAATACAGTTATTTTGTATCTACTAAAGATATAGTATATTGGTTGGAATTGTTTTGAATTGAGTAGCATACAAGAGATGGTAGCTAAATGAATAAATAAATAATTGTAGTTCTTCTTGTTCTTTTCTGCTCACCTTTACAAGGCAGAAGTGCTGACAATCTAGCAGATTTAAAGTATTTTCTAAAAATGGTGGAAAGGGTGGAATCTAGGGGAGAATTTCTTCAAGATAATAGTTTAACACAATCATCACATTTTAAAAAGTCTCCTTTGTTACAGTGCTGTTTCAACTAGACATTTAGTATTTGTGTTTATGAGAATACATTTCCTAAAGAATATTCTATTACCATTTATTTCTTAGACATGTGAATGTAGAAGAAATATAGATGTGAGAAAATGCTGTTTTATAGCTTGTTTAAGGAAAGAGCATCAAAACAGTAATTGTTTGGGGAGCCTTATTGTATTTTCTTCTTTAGCAGCTACTTCACTTTTTTCAAAGTGCAAGGCTGTTTCTTTTGTAATTAAAACATAGTATACATTGGCAATTACTTTTATAATTTTTGTTCTCTATTTTCCCCCAAAGCGTAGTATATTTAAAAAAAATAATTATTTAAGACTGAAACCCAGGCGAATCTCCTAATACATTTGTTTCTCTTGACAGTTTCATACCTAACACATTATGAAAAATGTGTTATAGCTGCATTATATATTGTGAGCCCAAGGTTTAGTAATTAGTAGTTAGGAATTATGTTTATTTATTTTAAAATGTTTAGAACTTTTAAACATTTTCACTGTTTTTAGGCAAGCATACTATCAAAGTGATTTGCCTAGAATCAGGGGTAGGCAACCTTGGCTCTTTTATGACTCGTGGACTTCAACTCCCAGAATTCCTGAGCCAGCCTTACTGAGGGGAAAGGGAGAGGTTTCCAAGCTGAGCCATGCTGGCTCAGGAATTCTGGGAGTTGAAGTCCAGGAGTCATAAAAGAGACAAGGTTGCCTACCCCTGGCCTAGATAGTCTTACACTTGGGTTTATCTATATAAAAAATAAAGGAAAAAAGAATTGTGAAGGAGGATAGAAAAAAACAAGCTTGGGTTCCCTGTGTTTACCGTTAAGAGTGAAGTCTCCTTTGATCTGAGCTTAGCTCCTGGCAACCTCATGCAGTTTTCTGAGCAGTGATACAGCAGTGGTTTCCCATACCCTTCTTCCCAGATTTTGCTTTTTGCTTTTATTTTCCAGTTTAATCAACAGCCTAGGGCAGGGGTGTCAAACTGCCGGCCTAAGGGCCGGATGTGTCATGCCGAAACCGCGCCCACCCCATTGCCGGCAATGGAAAAAAAAGTCGCGATACGTCACGTCACGTGACATTGCGAGTTTGACACTCCTGGCCTAGGGATTTCTTGGTTCCTATCTAAAGACAAATCTGGTTTATTTGTGCTTAGTTTTTCATGATCAGCCAATCAGCCACCTAAGTGATTCTTAAGATGTCATGGTAGTCTTGTTTTTTCTGCTGATGAACCTTCAGGGAGGGTCAAAGGGAGCTACTTCTTGACAGAAGAAACAATCCTTTTGTTTCTGTTGTTCCGCATGGCCAGTGGTAATTCATGATCTGTACTTATCATTGAGTTGCTCTGTGATCTCAGTGATATTCTTGTAGGCCTTAGCTTTTCTGTGGTTTGGGAGAAGTTTTGAAATACTGTAAGTTCTTTGTGCCATAAATCTCTTTTGAGTTTCTGGTGAAATGTATGGATGCTTTCTCAATAAAATGTATTTAAATTAAATTACATCAAATTAAATGCGTAGATATAGGTTGCATTACAGGTAATACTTGAGTTATGAGTATGAGCGTTCATTTACTGATTGTTTGAAGTTACAACAGCACTAAACAATGGTACTTATGACCGGTCCTTGGAATTCAGCTGTTCCAGTATCCTTGCAGTCACATGCTTATGATCTAGTTCAGGAGTAGGCAACCTTGGCTCTTTAATGACTTGTGGACTTCAACTCCCAGAATTCCTGAGCCAGCCGTTGCCTACCCCTGATCTACCCAGCTCATGATTACATTATAAAAGCCGCAACCGTGTGACCAGATATTCCATTGTTTCTTGCTGGCTTCCCCCAAGCAAAGTCAATGGCAAAGTTGGCAGGATGTCAGAAGTTGTGATCAGATCTGATCCTCAATGTCCCGTGTGGCCTTTAATTATGATGGCAACTGAAATGGCTGGTAGTACGTTAATGTGGCCACACGACGTTGAACTTTATGATCACATTGCTTAGTGACAGAAATTCTGGTCCCAATTGCTGTCATAACTCGAAGCTACCTATATAAAAGAAATGAATTATAATTATGGTTTGTCATGCTATCACCCAGATGTTTAGACTGGATTTGGCATTTTTATCCACTTATTGAGTCCTTCCCAAGGACCTGGGATAGGCAGATTTTTATTTGATGGTATTAAAGGTATCATTGTAGGATGTAAGTTGTTCCATGTAAAGCTGCCTTTTGCCATTTTTATTATTAATTCCTGATTGTTGTTTTTATCTTGATTATTTCTTGTAGGCTGCTCAGAGTCTCCTTGTTAATTAATTAATAAAACATATATGCTGCTCGATTCTCAGCAACTCCAGTTTACAAATTATTTAGTTATGTATTGTTCAAGTTGGGTAGCCAAGCAGTTAAATAAATACAACTCAAAGGTTGATATCAAAATATTAATAGCAAATATGTACTTTAATAATATTATGTGCTTCTTTATTAATCCATTAACTCAGTAATAAGGGTATGCACTTTTTTTTTTTAGTATGTAATAATTTTAGATTTAACTTTATTGAAGTTAAGAAACATTTTTGGAGTCTACAGCCTGTAAATTGCTTTGTGGCCTGTATACATTATTGAATGAAAAGCTAAGTTTTAGTTAAAGGTTAGTCAAAATAAAATAGTATTTTTTGCCCTCCAGGTTCATGGGTCCCATGACATCTATTCACAGCCCACAGGGAGGCCTCGGTTAAGAATCCTCTCAGTATAGCCTTGGCAGTGTAATAAGAACTGCTGTGAGATTTTTATGGGAGCCAGTTGGGAATATTTGATGCTGCCTCTTGGATCTGCTTCTGCTTCATGCTCTTGGCTTTTTGGAGCCATTTCCGAATTTTTCTTTTTACGCCTACATTGTCTCACACAATGTCACCTTTTTTTTTTTTTTGCAGTATTGAAGCTTCTGTGGCTACTTTTGCTCAAGCCAGACCACCTGGTATCTACAAAGGTGACTATTTGAAAGAACTCTTCCGTCGTTACGGCGATGTGGCTGATACGCCAGCACCACCTCCTTTACCAGAATGGTGCTTTGAGGAAGACGATGAAGACGAGGAGGAAGAGAACTGCAAGCTGGGAACTCCAGAATCGGAAGCTTGCTCGTCAACTTCCTTTTCTGGCAGAAAAAGAAAAGAACACTTAAAATTGGTAATGGTGAACTAGAACACAGTATAGCATGCTTTTGAACTTGTTTTAAATATGTTATTGTAATTACTGTTTTAATATGTGCCTTCAAGTCAGTATTGATTCCTGGCAACTGCCTGGACCAGTCCCTGCAGTTTTCTTGGTATAATTGTTAAGGCACCAGGTTGGAAACCCAAACACTGTGAATTTTAATACTGCTTTCTTGATCTTAGAAAGAAGACAGTGGCAAGCCAGTTACGAACACGTTGTCAATATTAACTGAGCCTGCTGAATTTAAGCTATTCGAACCTGATAAATTACCCACAATTTCATAACCTTAGCATTCTCATTTCCCCATTGTACATGCTGTACTGAAACCACAGAGTTGCTGCTGAAATATTGAGTTAAAATAAGAAGGACCTCTCCTTTACAGAGTGCTGGTAGAATACAGATAGTACAACTAACATACAGTATAAGATGACTATCTTGTTTAAGGTACCAAATTTGTATTTACTACACATTCTTTTAATCTAGCATTCATTTCATGCTAGGTAGAGCTAATACAGGAGATAAGAGGGGATTTCATTTTGATAGAAGAAAAAAAAAGTTAAAAGTTTTCAGCTCTTTGTTTTTCAGCTTGAATGGTTTAGAATAGTATTTTTCTGGTGCTGTTAGATAAGAAATCCTTGATTGGTAAGGCACTTGAAGTAGCATACTGAATTTGGGGTTCAGGATTGGAAGGCATCTGGTGAAATATTAATTTAGTTAATAAAATATAGATACTGCCTAACTCCAAACAACTCTGGGTACCATAATATAAAAAGAAATGATCAGATGCATCCGAACAAAAGAAATAAAATATACTAAAGAAAAATGACTTAACAATAAGTCTGCCCCCAGGCCTGGGAAAGCAGCCCAATTTTCAGAGAGTTTTGGAATATCATAAGAATATTTCAAAACTTAGGATATTGTAAAAAGTTGTTTTGGTTGTTTGTTCTGATTTGCTTCCCATATTCAGTGTGTTTTTTTTCTTTTCACTTTTTTTTATCAGCCATAAATATTTCTATTCTAAAAGTTATAATAAATTAAAAGGCTTACACCCATATTAAATTAATGCAAATTTTGATTTCATTTATAATTCTGCTGCTACTGTTATTTAATATTGCACAATTAAAAACTAATGGTTTTAATTACAGACATAATGCTTTTACAAATGAAGGAGGATGGCAACTGTTGAAGAATTCTGAATGATAATGGAAAAATTGTTTTTTTTTAAAAAATGAAGAATTAACTCTTAAAAAATTAAGAAGAAACTTAATCATATTAAATCATAATTGGCATTCTAATGGCTTTTATATGATTTATTTTTGAAAGATAGAGCTTTGAGCTTTTAGTTAATGAGTAGAATTATAGACTCTGAGGCTTTCTAGCTAGCCAAGATATTAAAATTCTGAGTGTTTATTAAATTAGTATACAATCTTCATATAATTTTGTATGTTTTATGTGATTTGTCAAGCAATAATATGAGTGTTAATAAATCATTTTTTCTGATTTCCTGCTAGACCTAAAAGATAGAATCTAAGGTACCATCATTAACCAAATGAAGAAGAGTAAGGTGCTTGATACTTCTGCAATCCTGATGTTTTGGAGAATACCTTAACTATCTGTACTGTGGCAATAGTGAAGGTGGGGTGGAGTTGTGTTGAGGGCTGTAAGGAGGGATTCCTGAACATTGGATTCTGCCAGTTCTACCAACAAAAGCTTTCTTCTATTAACAAAAGGCAATAATTGAATTTTACCTGGGGAGAAGGGAGATCTCTCTCCCTCCCTCCCTCCCTCCCTCCCTCCCTCCCTCCCTCCCTCCCTCTCTCTCTCTCTTTGGGTGTGTGTCTTTCTCTACATACACAAACTTGATGACCCATGACCCATTGGACTGCATTTTCTTACCAGATTCCTTCAACTGGCAGAGCTTCTAATGCACTGCTTTCACTGCAAAAGTTTTTAAAAGTTCAGGTACATATTTAGAGATATCTGCCTTGAAAATAGCCCACATTGAACTACATAGCATAGTCAAACAGCAGGAGTTAACCATAGGAAATATTTTATGACATTTTGTATTATGCCATAAAATATTTGATAAAACTTGTCAAATTTCAATACCATAGGAGTCATGGGTTCCAGATTTTGGACACATTCTGGGAGTTAGCACGTTGAGGTATTTTGGTTCAGAAATTGTTGTCCTATGATATAGATGAGTAAACGTGTGTTGGGGAATGCAGCTGGGAAATGTAAGAAGCTATTTAGTAACAAATATGACTTTCAGTGATAGGTGTAGTTCTGCTTCACAGGTTCTAAATATTTTAACACTGGTGAATATTTAGTTTTTATAATAGCTACCATGGCAGTAGAAAACTGCAGTGGTGCTACAAAAAAAGCATATTGTACATAGCTATTTGGTTTGAATGACTTGATGACCATGACAGGCCTTTTTTTTTAACCTGCCCCACCCAAGCAGTATTTGTATTTTGGTGCCGTGATTTTGATTCATTATCTTTGCTTCCAACCTCAGAACAGAAATCAAAAGACCCAGCTGAACAGAAACTACTGGATTGTCCATTAAAAGAAGGCTTTTAATATTGATAATTGTAGTTCAAAGGTGAAAAGATTAAAAAAAAAACACAATAATTTGGTTGATTCATTTAATTTAGCTTTACAGCTTTTAAGGTACACTGTATTTTGGGGAGGGCCTGGGAATGCAGTTGCATGCTTATCAAAATGATATTTAAGAAACATGTTAGATGAAAGTGAAATCTCCTAAGTTATTTTTATTATGTACATGTGCAGGGTATATTTGAGCTTGAGATAGTGTGGCATAACAAGTAAAATGTATATCCCTTTCGTTTAAAGCAACTTTACCTTTTATATAGTTTGCCAAAAGCAGCTTTATAGGGCAGCTTGATATAAAAAGCAGTATTCATTTTCACTGCTAGAAATATCAATTAAAGCTTGATGTGGTTTCAATTTAGATCAATTTTAGACATAAATTATAGCCTGTAGTTATTTTACTCAGTATGATTCCATTGTAATTTATGCAGGAAGTATAATGAGGGGAAAGATGATACATTGCCCAGATTCCTAAGAGGTATTTCTGTTCAATGTACAATTATATTTTATTTTCCACAGAAGGATGTATAACCATTATGATGTGAATTTTTTTAATATGAAGCCAGTCATATTTCCCACCATATTCCTTCTTTCTAGATCTAAAGTGTGTCATGACAGCTTCCTTGAACTTTTGTATACAAATATCCTGTATTGCTAATGTAATGTAATAAAGCTTTCTCAATCTTCCCTATTAAGTGCGGGATGATGAGGGTGGCCATTCAGGAGATATTTAGGGCTCTGGCAGGAAAAACCCAATCAAAAGAAGTGGTGTGCAAAATAGTTCGGATTCCAAAACTTTCATGGAAGAAATTCTGTTTGGAGTTAAAATTGTCCTCTATTGAGCTCAGAAGAGATGTTCAGAAGTATTTTGATACTTATCTGACCGTAGTAGAAGCATTCTGAGTCTGAAAACAATGCCATCTTGAGCTTGAATCAATCTTACTTCCGTTCCAAATGTTGGTTTTTGAATATGAATGAATTACTCCAGAAATATTATGATCGGTTTTATACATAAACCAGGTGGGGAAAATGAAAACTAAAAACTCCCGTTCCTCCAATTTCACGTAGAAAAGACCTGTGTAAACCTTTTAAAAGATTTAGCTGCCTTACGCCTTTCTGGGGAGGAGTATTCCAGAAATCCGATGGCCTAATGGCGAAAAAGCATACTGTATCTATGTCTTTATTTATAATTAGTGATCGACAAAATTATAAACACATAACAATACATGTCATGTATATATCATCTGTTGCCTCACTTTCACGGTTGCTAGTCATTATCTGGCTATTATGTAGGTAATGGAATGTTTTGTGTTTGAAAGATGAAAGTTGACATAAAACTTATGTGTTTTGCCAGAATATTGGCATAGGAGGGGCAAAATATAACTTTTACAAAGCATAGAATAATAGAATATGCTGTATTGTTTCAATTTCCCAGATTCACATGGGCAAGTGCTCTCAGCTCATGGGGTTTTACAGTATCTACCCTGCAAAAATGCAGAAGGGAGAACGTTGTGCCTAGCCTTAAAAATTCTTTTCTCAATCTGGGGAAGGTAAGTGTACTTAGATCCCAAGTTCCCAAGCAGCCCATTATTTCTTATTCTGCGATCCTGTTAAACTGATTTTGGTGTCCCGCATTGCTTCGTTTTTGAAGAAAAATCTTTTTAATCTTTTTTCTTAACCAATAAATACAAATGATTCAGCCACATATCCATAAGGCATTAATGTTGATTCAGCCGCTGTTTTTGAACTCATAGAGTGGTCATCAGCTAGAGCTAAGGATAATAAATATGTGAGGAAAAATGGCTCTTAAACGGATTGTTTGCTTCCACACCCTCATTTTGATTTGAGACATTCCAGTTGCAAGTCCACAATGGAACATTAGTATGCCTCTGTGTATATGTGTGTGGGGGGAACCCATAATTTTGTTGGCGCTGTTATCATTTTGTTTTGTTGCATAAATTGTCACTTGGGTAGATGCCATATTAAATTTAGACCTCAAAATGCTTTAAAGCAGGGCTTTTTAACCTTTTCACCCATTATATCACTTTTAGGATATGGCAATATTCGAGTACCACCAGTCACCTAGCAAGGTGTCAAAAACTTGATGACCAAGAAAAAAAAAGGGAAAAAGTGATGAAGTACAGGTAGTCCTCAACTTACAATAGTTTGCTTAGTGACTGTCCGAAGTTACAATGGCACTGAAAAAAGTGCCCCCCAAACCACAGCCGAGCAAGACACCTGCCTGTCCACCCAGTGGCGCTCTTCCTTCTGTCCGAGGTTTTCATTGTTGTGAGCATTTCTGTTGAGGATTGGCAGTGGGGGTGGGATGGGGGGGCTGTTTGGTTTTTATTCCCCCTGTC